GTGAGGAGTAAGTGGGGCAGCTTTTGTGGGAGTCCGGTTAAGGATGTAACATGCCGTTAAAACGGCTTCTCCCCAAAGCTCCAATGAGAGATTTGCATGCCCTATCATACTCCTTACCATTTCCACTAAGGTCATATTCTTTCTCTCAGCTACATCATTTTGTTCAGGAGTATAAGGCATGGTGTACTGATGGATGATCCCATTTTCAATGCACAATTCTTTAAAAAGGTCAGATGAATATTTCTCCCCTCTATCGGTTCTATGAATTTTAATTTTTATGTTGGTTTGATTATCTACCTGGGCCTTATATTCTTTGAATTTTTCTAGGGCTTTGATTTTGCATGAATAAAGTACACATGGCTATATCGCGAGTGATCATCTATAAAAGAGATAAAATATATTTTTCCACTTTTGGTGGTCACATTCATAGGTCCACATATGTCACTATGAATGATTTCCAATACGCTAGTAGCTCTTTTTGCCCTGGTGGCATTTCTCTTTATTAATTTTCTTGCACACAAGACTCGCAAATTTTCAATAAATCTCTCTTATAATTTTGAAGAATCCCGTCCCTTTTTAATATTTATATTCGTTTAATATTAATGTGTCATAAGCATCCAATTCATTAGGGGATGAGACATAAGCAACATTCTCTTTTATTTCAATAGTAAAAGCCTGTCTATATGTCGTCACATCTTTCTCCTTTTTGACCACTACTTTTTTCCCAATGAAAGTAGTTATGAATCCAATCATAGACATCGTCGGAACCGAAACCAACACTTCTTCATATCAGGAGCATAAAGTGCTTGGATCAAGGTGCTCCACTCTTCAATTTTAGCTCAAAATCTCCAACTTCAAGAACATTAGTCTTCTGATTTTTTTCCATATAAATATGTTGTTGTCCTGGCCCCATGGGAGTGAAAGAACGAAAATCATCCTTGGTATTTGTGACGTGGGCCGTAGCACCCTAGTCAAGACACCAAGAGGATCCTTTGGGGTCAGCCAGCATAGACTCCAAAATCACACATGTCAATTCCTTGTTGGTCCCTCCAGATTTGTTAAACCGACAATTATTGACTATGTGGCCCACCTTCTTACAAATAAAGCAAGTTCGAGTCTCTCTCTTTGCTCTTTTATTTCCAAAATCTCTCCCTTTGAAATATTTTTCCTTTCGAAAATTATTTCTTCCCTTTCCCTTCTTAAATTTAAAAGAAGGTGGGGATTTTATTATATGCACGGCTTCCCTTGGAGTTGTTAGTAGTAGTTGCCTTGAATTTTTTCTCTCCTCTTCTGCTTTGATTGTAGTGATGAGCTCCTCCAGTTTTGATGCTTTCTTTCTGGCTGAGATGGAATATATAAAGGTCTCCCAAGAATTAGGAAGATGAATCACTTGCATAGGTTCATTAAGTTTCATGTCTGTATCTTCTAGCTCTCTGACTAGAGCACGAAATACGTGCACATGATATGTAAACTTGGTATCTTCTGCCATCTTTAATTCATTATACCTCCTCATAGCTATGGTTTTCTTCATAAGAGATGCTTCAAGATACTCTCTCTCAAGTTTATCATAAATTTCACTTGCAGTATAGATTGACTCATACTCAAAAGCATATGAGTCAGGCATAACAAATAAAAGAATGTATTTACATCTCATATTCTTCCTCTTCCAAATGGCGTACTCATCTTTAATGACTTGAGATGAGTCGTCAATTGAACGACGATGTCAGTCCTCAAAGAGTACCTCATGCAAATTTTTCTCATAAAGCACAAATTTGATTTTTTTTTTTCCATGAAACAAAATTGGTCCCATCAAACCCTTTGGTTTTTAGGATCTCTGAGATGAAGGTACGAGCAGCCATATATTTATATTCTCAAGCAAAAATAAAAAAAGACTCCTAATGGCAATCAAGTAAAATAGCTATGATACCAATGAAAGAAAGACCTATGTGATCTTTTGTCGGGAAATACAATTTTTTTTAATAATAATCACCTCTTATATTTTTGGCAACAAGATCACTCACAGATGGTCTTATTACAAACAATAGAAATTCCAAAAAACTAAATAGCAGATCAATAAAATAAATCTTAACTACTTGATGTCATTCATACAACCTAATATTATGCTTGAGAATATAAAATAAAAGAACTAACAAATAAAATTAAAGATGTCGGAGTTTACCTCAACCAGGTTTTTTACACCCCACACCGAGTCACCACATCCAATAGCGCGAGATCTGCGGTCTAGCTTCAATCTCGATCCAAGAAAACTGATTTCGGCCAAACTAAGTAACCACCCTTAAAATCTCTACCAAATCCTAACCCCCAAAATTAACTTAGGCTTCCCTCTAATTTTTCCAACCCTTAATTCTCCTTAGATCTAAAGAGGAGAGAGAGTACTACTTAGGGTTTTGAAAAGAGAAAGTTAGAGAGAGAAATATAGAGGAGAGAGAGTGAGGCGTGCCTCTCTAAGAGAGAGAGAGGTGAGAGAGAGATTATGAGGGAGAGAGAGGTTAGATAGAGATTATGGGAGAGAGAGAGGTTGTGTAGAGATGGGGGAACACCCTTATTTATAGTGAATATTTAGGTTTAATGGTTTCTTAGGGTTTTCCCATAGTTTGTCACTTTCATGAGATTGAATCTAGACCGTTGATCAAGATAACTTGTGGGGTGAGAGATCTGAGCCATCCATTCCATAGATGGGTCATCAACATTATGGAAGGTGCTTGGACCATTATCCCCCTTTTCTTAAACTATTTTCCCATCAATATATTTAAATAAAATAAATATCGTGTATTCCATAAAATTGCATAATCCATCTCACATATTCCATAAGGATATGTCAAATATTATCAAGCAAATAAATACTACCAAATATAAATAAGATAAGGTCAATATTTATTATCTATTCAAATTGACCACATCCCTTTAAAGCAAACTTGCTATAAAACAAATAAAGCCATGGTCAATATTTTCCTTCCAAGATTTGACCACATGCCACAAATCAAAGTTACCATAACTTAAAGACTTCAACATAAAGCAAACAAAGAATCCAAAAGGGTGGTGCGTACCTCCCCTATGTAGCACATGTGGGCCCCCACCCACATGCCACACGGTGGGCCTATATGCACTTTGGCCCCCCATGAATTTTTATTAAAAGTTTTAAAATTAAATAAAATGAATTTTTATATATTTGAATTTTATAACTCTATAAAATCAGTAATTGTATTTTTATAAGTCCAAAAAACATAAATAAAATATTGAGAGATTCATAAAAATTCAAATAATAAAACTAAAATCATTTTAATAATAAAATGAACACAATTAAATTAATATGATGGGAAATGATCCATATGGTTTTAGGAATTCAATCTGTAATTATGGGGTACTTCACCTTCAACTGTGGACTACATACCACACTAGCTTTATCGAACCGGCCCAGTTTTTTCATGACCCACAATCCAAGCAGGGGCTCATTAGCGGGTCATCAAAGTCAGGTCGATGAATCAAGGGGTCGCAATCCCAATCTATGGATTACAGGTCCTCCCCTAGAGACGAGTTAAGGTCACCACGACCTGATGCGACCACAGCTCTGTGACGCATAGGGGCATCTTTCGTACATGTATACGCTGCAGCCAAAGGTGGATATCTGGTTTTTCCGAACGATCTATCAATATGTTTGCCCTGTGATGGAATATGGATGAAGTTTTGGCCCCCGTCTCAGTAGGCTACCATCAGACACAAGGGTCACACAGTCCCTCGTCTCACTCATCTATGCATAAGCTCCGACCTCATCAAGGGCTAACCTAAAACTCTCATCGGTTAATTTTTTATACCCAGGTACCTTGGGTTTTCCAACCGATTGGCCTAGATCGATAAGCACAGTCCGATATAAACAAACATTATTTCCTTAGTATGATCCTTGAGGGACCACACGCCCACTGAATTTATGTTTCACTATTAATAAAAGTATTTTGATACACACTCATAAAGCCTTTAGAGGCCACATAAACCCAATAACTGAACCATCGAGTGGTTCTCTATACAGAATCGCTGATATATCTCTAGAATAGGACGACTATACAGGATCGCCGATACCTCTCTAGAATCGGACGACTTAACGTGTTTACTGGAATTAACACGGGGTGGTCGATTCCCGTGTCGACTCAAACGAGTTCGTTGCGACTCGCCATTTTTTAAAGCACTGGTTTATAGTATATGGTCCCTAAGCCCTGGCCATTCACCATTTCAACAATGGCTCATTTACTAGTTTGTTGATAAAGACTGATAGACAGGAGTGGACTCGAAAGCGAAAAAACAGCTCATGTACACCCTTTGTTGATGACGACAAACGGTGGATGATAGGTTTGGGTACCATACACTATAAACACACAATGTGTTTGGTATAATAATCCTTTTGTGAAAAAGTTGTGTACAATATGCTAGAATTCTTACTCTTTTGAAAATTTCAAATATTTAGAGATTCTTTTAGTGATGCTTTGGTTCATTTTATAGTCCTCTTCGTGAAGGAAAGCATTTTTTATATATTTATTGTACCCTCCCAATATACCGCGAAAGAGCAGCGCTGGAATTGTTTTTCATGTTTCTTTCAAGGGCAGTTCCCCATTTTATAAATGAGATAGTTTTTATTTCTTCTACACTTAGGGCGTGTTACCACTAAACGCATTTAATTATATATTTTGAGCACAATTGTTTGGGAACTGTTCCATGACATGGTTTATCTTTGTCCATTTTTAACGGCAAATGAGCAGTTAAATCCATTTAACTTCACAGCCAACCAAACAAAAGTGTTAGTACACAGGATATACTCCTCTCTCTTTCTCAATGTGAGGACACAGGGTAAATTCCTCCAACAAAAATTTTTACACACACAAACGCACTTATCTATAACTCTGTGACACATTATTGCCCTCCTATATGAAAGCCATGCCCTTGGACACTTATAACCAAAATTTGGATCGTCTTCATTTCTATGGGGGCAGGGCCTTCTGAAGGTGGCAGACAACAAGGTGGAGGTACTGTCGGACGGGGCGGAGGGCGTAAAGTTCAAGCTAGCGGACGGCCTGGATGTAGCCTCAGATGGAACCATTTACTTCACTGATGCAAGCTATAAATATGACCTTGATCATCATATGCTCGACATTTTCGAGGGGCGCCCTCACGGTCGCTTGTTGAGATTCGAACCCTCGACCGGTGAGACCCATGTGCTGTTGAAAGGCCTCTATTTTGCAAATGGATTGGCCCTCTCTCCGAACCAAGACTTTCTCGTCTATTGTGAGTCCACGTTGTAAGTGCTCTTACTTTCTCGGACCCTACAATCTCCACACACTTCGCCTTATATTCTCAGAGGGACTATTCAAATTTGAAAAAGAAGCCAAAAGATTATATGCTTCCTAGGAGCATATCATCTATTCATTCCCTGGGTAAAAACTTATAACCAGGAGTATTTTTAGCACATAAATTTTGGAGATATCACTTCCTCAATCTAGTAACTAACCTAATAAAGAAAAAAAAAAAAATTTCATGTACACATTACATGTACCTGAAAAAAAATTAAATCCTAGGATTGATCAAAATTATCTAAGTTTTTGGATGGTCAGATCAAAGTTTTTTGGAACCCAAAATCCAAGTTTTTTTTTTTTAAATACTTCAATTCAAAATTCAAGACGAAAAAGTATTCGTATGCAGCTCTTTTGCCCAAGGGACCAAGTGTGTAGCATGCTCCCACAAGACCACAAGAGCAAGCACAATAAAAAAAAGAAAATTATTTTTGTTTTGAGGAAGTTTAGGGTTACTTGGGCATGATCTTCTAATATTTGGTGGTTTATGTTTGTTTGTGACCTTAGTATATGTAGTACACACTTATTTAAGTTAGGTTTTTGTATTTGATTAACCCTAGCAGATGTGATTTGCGGTTCAAGTTCTTCAGTGTAGTTTGTTTGGAACAGCAACTAAACTGATTATTTGTTAACTATAGAAACGAAAAGCAATCCATGAAATTAAGAAAGAAGAAACAAACACGAAAGAAAGAGACAACCAATCATAAGGTAAAGATATACGTGGTTCGATAACATGTCTACGTCCACGGGATATTATAGCTTCTTTACTGATAATGAAAATAGGGTTACAATTCTTTCTCTTCCTCACGCCTCTCTGTTTTTATCTAATTACAAATAGATCTGTGTTTTTCCCTTAACCCGTAACTTTGGATGAACCTCCAATCGCAATGATATATATCGAGTCCCAGATGGATGGTACAAATTATCGAAATACCCTTGTAGGGATATATATATATATATATACGGATATATCCGAACCTTGGCAGATATATTTCCTCAGAATACAAGACATCAATCCTCAACTATTTCCACCTTGGCTTGAATTCTGTCGAGTCACCCTGAAGATGTCTTCATTCCCATACCTCCATAAAGGTACGCTACTACACCCTCACCTGCCATGGGGTACTTCTCTCACTCTCAACAATGAAAGACATTAAGTAAGTCCAAGCAAAGCTTGAGCTTCTTTGTGGTGACCGGCTTTGTAAGCATATCTGCAGGGTTGTTATTCGTATGAATTTTTTGTGAATGATTCTTTTTGACATAACCTCCTTGATCTTGTGATATCTCACATCAATGTGATTTGTCCTTGTATGAAACACTTGATTCTTTGCAATATTTATGCTACTCTGACTATCACAACGCAACACAGTACCTCCTTGCTCCACCCCCAACTCACGAGCCAAAGCAGTCGACCAAATCACCTCTTTTGCAGCCTCAACTGCTGCCATGTACTCTACCTCTGTCGTAAACAAGGTAATCGTGGGTTGAAGCATTGCCTTCCATGAAATAGGTCCACCTACTTGTGTGAAGACATACCCTGTAGTAGACCTTCGCTTGTCTAAATCACCAGTATAGTCGGAATCGATATATCCCACCAGTTCTGTAGAGCTTCTCTTCCTGTTGAACATAAATATGAGATCTGACGTCCTGCTCAGATATCTGAAAATCCATTTAATAGCATTCTAATGCTCCCTTCCAGAATTACTCATGTATCGACTAACAATACTGACAACATGAGATAAATCTGTCCTACTACAAACCATAGCATACATGAGGCTTCCGACTGTACTAACATAGGGCACCAGAGACATCTGCTCTATCTCTTCATCCGTAATGAGACACTGCTGTTCAGATAACTTGAAGTGACTCACCAATGGAGTGCTAACTGACTTGGCCTTTTTATATTGAAACGCTCCGACACCTTTTCAACATTCTTTTTCTGAGTTACCCAGAGTTTACCTGCACTTCTATCTCTATGAATCTCTATACAAATGATCATATTAGTAGCCCCTAGATCCTTCATATCAAACTCAGAACTTAACATAGACTTGAGAGAAGTTATGTCACATGCATTCTTGGCAGCGATGAGCATGTCGTCAACATAAATCATCAAGAGAATAAGGGAATTATCATCAAGAACTTTAAAATAAAAACAACAATCATACTCACTTCTTGAATAACCAATCCACATCATGAAATATTCGAAGCGCTTGTACCACTGCCTGGGAGATTGCTTAAGACCATAAAGCGATCTCTTGAGCAAACAAACTTGATCTTCTTTTCCATACACCTTGAAGCCTTCAGGTTGCTCCATAAAAATTTGTTCCTCCAAATCACCATGAAGTAACGTTGTCTTCACTTCAAGCTTTTCTAGCTCCAAATCAAACATGGCTACTAAAGCAAGTAATAGCCTTATTGAAGTGTGCTTGGCAACCGGAGAGAATATTTCATTGTAGTCCCCAACGTCCTTTTGAGTGTAGCCCTTTGCTATGAGCCTAGCCTTGAATCTCTCACATTTATTTTTTGTTGTTGCATTTTTCTTCGAAAGATCCACTTGCACCCAATCACTTTCCTTCTCTTTGGCCTCTTGACAAGCTCCCAAGTCTTGTTCTTTTTCAAAGACTCCATCTCCTCCATCATGGTTGTCATCCATTTATCACTCCGTGCATCACTTTGAGCATCTTCAAAGGAGTCGATTTTCCCAGTACCAACAGTTAGAGCAAAGGCTACCATGTCTTCACAGACGTATCTCACAGGGGCTTTGTGAACACGCTTCTTTCTACCTTCTTCCAAACTGAAGGGTTCACCTTGTGATTGTTGTTGTTCTGGTATGCTGCTAGATGATTTTTCCTCTTTTGATGTTTCAGACTCTTCTAGCTCCACCTGGACTTTCGATCTTTCTTCATCACTTTCATCTACTTGCACTTTGTCATATTGCATGTTGATTGACTTCATCATGTGAGATTCATCAAACACAAGATCCCTGCTAAGCATAACCTTATGTGAAGTAGGATCCCAAAGCTTGAATCCCTTCACTCCCTTCTCAAAACCAAGAAAGATGTATTGTTTAGATTTAGAGTCTAATTTGAAACGTTTCCCACTTTGCACATGGACATAGGCTGGACATCCGAAGATCCTCAGCATAGAGTAATCTACCGGCTTTCTTGTCCACATCTCCTCTGAAATTTTGCAATTAATCGTTGTAGATGGTGACCTATTAACAATGAAACATGCCATGTTAACTGCTTCTGCCCAGAAACTTTTTTTCAAATCTACATTCAATCTCATACTAAGAGCTCTTTCTAAAAGAGTCATGTTCATCCTCTCAGCCACACCATTTTGTTGAGGAGTTTTTGGTATGGTAAAGTGACATACAATTCCCTAAGCATTTCAGTTTCTTTCATGTCTTCCTTTCTGCCTTTGCTTTCTATTGTTTAAGCTTCGTGAATGCTTCACTTTTGTGTTTCATAAAGTAGATTCAAACCTTTATTGAGTAATCATCAATGAAGGTAATGAAGTATTTTACCCCACCCTTGGATTTGATTAGTGAAGCCCCCATATATCAGTGTGTACATAGTCTAGTATATCCTTGCTCGTATGAATTGTAGTTTGAATATAATCTTGCACTGTTTACCGAAAACACAGTACTTACAGAAATCTAGTTTACAGGCTCTGACATCCTTCAACAATTTTCTTTTATGAAGTTCCATCATACCTCGTTCACTCATATGCTCTAAACACATATGCCACAGATTTGTGTCATCTATGTTGGACTCAACATCTATGGTTACAGAAGCTCCACCTATAACTGTATTCCTTATCAACCTGTATAGATTCCCAGTCATCTGACCTTTCATGGCAACCCTATATCCCTTACTAACTTTGAGGACTCCACCTGTTGCTGTATACTTGCAACCATTCAAATCAAGAGCCCCTAGAAATATTAAGTTTTTCTTTAATTGTGGGACATGCCTCATATCTGATAAGGTTCGTATTATCCCATCAAACATTTTGATTTTGATAGTTCTTATTCCAATTGTCTTGCATACTACATCGTTCCCCATTAGAACAAACCCACCACTATATGATTTGTAGGTTTCGAAGTAGTTTCTATTTGGACGCATATGAAAAGAACAACCAGAATCTAAAGTCCAAGAATCAGTAAATTGATTATTATCCGAAGATATAAAGAGAAAATCTACATCATCTCCATCAGAGCTATCGGCCACGCTAGTTTCATTAGATGTTTTTCCTATTTCTATCTTTTTTATATCCTCTTTTCTTTTTGGGCAGTCTCTCTTCATATGACCTTCCTTTTTGCAATAATAGCAAATAAATTTGTCCTTCCCGTTCGATTTTGACTGACTTCTGCTTCCATACCTCTTTTGATTTAATCTACCCCTTTCATGACTCTCTTTGTGTTTCTAAAGAAACCTTCTCCTTGAAATTTAATATTGCTAGTCTTTTTCCTTGTCTCCTTTGATATAAGAGTAGCAGTGACTTTATCCGTCTCAAGAGTTTCCTTCCCCTAAAGTAGAGTCGTAACAAGGTGATCGTATGATCCTGGAAGCGAAGCCAACAAAAGTAGGGCATTGTCTTCATCCTCGATTTCGACCTCAAGGCTTGCTAACTAGCTTATGATCTAGCTGAACTCGCTGAGATGTTCAAGCAGATCTGTGCCTTCTTCCATCTGAAGAAAATACAACTGCTTCTTCAAGAACAACTTACTCGTCAGATATTTCGTTATGTAGATGCTCTCGATTTTTGTCCAAACCTCCGGAGTAGTTTCGATATCCACCACATAACGCAATACGTCATCTAAGAGATTCTGACGAATCGCACTTACCGCCTTTTCCTCCATCTTTTGCCACTCTTCATCGTCCATCTTTGCTGTTTTCTTCGATTTCCCTAGCAAAGCTTTAGCCAGACCTTGTTGTATCAAAATATCCTTCATCCTTCGTCACCAAAGGGTGAAATTGTTCTTTCTATTGAACCTCTCAATGTCATACTTGACGCTTGACCCATTTCCTGTCATCGTGGTAGCAAACCCCAGAATGCGGAACAACTATGTAGGCTCTGATACTAATTTGTAAACAAAAAGCAATCCACGAAAACATGAAAGAAGAAACAAACAAAAAAGAACGAGACAACCAACCACAACGTAAATATATACATGGTTCAGCAACATGCCTACGTCCGCGAGAGATTAGAGCTTCTTTACTGGCAATGAAAATAATGTTACAATTCTCTCTCTTCCTCACGCCTCTCTGTATTTATCTAATTACAAAGAGATCTGCGTTTTTCCCTTAACCCTCAACTTTGGTTGAACCCCCAATCGTAAAGATATATATCGAGTCCTAGATAGATGGTACAAATTATCGAAATACCCTTGTACAGATAAATATATCAAGTCCCAGATATATCGAGTCCCATGTATGGATATATCTGAACCTTGACATATATATTTCTTCAGAATACGAGACATCAATCCTCAGCAGTTAACAATATTAGCACCAACAGTCATTTGTTTTATTTTTCTCTCTTTAATTTTTCAATGGCTTTTACATTGTTCTTTTTGCTTTGATTTGTGAAAGCTGTGAAAGATGATTAAGGAATCTTATAGAAGATCATATCAGTCTTATTATCATTATGTTAAGAGTGGTTTAAACTTTTCAGGGCAAGATGTGTAAAATATTGGATTGAAGGAGACAAAAAGGGATCTACAGAGATATTCATAGATAAGTTGCCAGGTGTGCCGGACAATATTCGGTACGATGGCGAGGGTCGATTCTGGATAGGCCTAGCCACTGTAAGTACATCTTAATTCTAGCTCAATCTAATTTGACTTAGAGTAACATTTAAGATTTCAAATTATTGGATTTCCATGGTTTCAGAGCAAAGTGGCTTGTGAATTGATTCTTTATAATCGCGCTTTAAAGGCAGAACTCTATCGAAACTAGACATGAACTATAGAATTTGTAACAATTTCAACCAGTCACTTGTTTATATAATATTTTTAACAAAAAAAATTCTAAATTCTAAATTCAACAATTCTTCCTTCTTTTTTTTTCTATTCAATGATAGCAATGAGGGCAGTACATTCTTCACCCCCGCTTTCGGATTTTGAAGTTTCCATTTCCTCAATAATTTCAAATTTTGATGACTGAAAAGATAAATCCATGCTCCAATATGGTTTTCAATTCCATAGTATGTGAAGTTGGGACTTGGGAGAAAATATTAAGAAACAGAAGAGTATCATAATAATGTATTCCAATTATGTCACGAAATTTTGGTTTTGTTTGCCATCCATTCATGAAAAGATCAAGCTAAAACCACAGAAAAGTGGAAAATACTCATTACAAGCACATAAATGAATGCATTGGAAAAATGTGAATTTTATGTTTGAGCTCAAATGTCTTTATTTTTTAGAAGGTTGGTGCCTTCCAGTAAATAGGTCATTTCTCTCTGAGAAAAGGACTAAGAGATATGTAAGAAGTCAGAGAAGTGGAAGAGAACATGTATGGTTTGAGACTATTTATTAAAATCTGGCTGAGGAAAATAATAAGTATGCTTTAGTAATCAATGGTATGTGGATTATCTATAGGAAAAAGGTTATCAAAGGTTGCAACCTTAAAAAGTGCAATTAAGGTGCACATCAAAAATCCACTGCAAATGCTATTTTGAAGTTGGAAAACTCTATCTGATTGATCACCTTGATATTGAAATGTATGAATATAAAAAATGGAAAATGACCTCTAACCCCCTCCCTGAAATTTCATTTCTTATTAGCCCCTAAAATCCCTTGCACCCCTCAAGTTTAAAACTTTGGGACCATTAACCCCCTAATTATTATTATTTTTGTTCTTTTTACAAATTTGATACTTTGTTTTACAAAATGCCAAACCCATACATTAGTCATCCATACTTTTTTTTGTGTCGATATACAAATTTTATTGATGATAGTAATAATAATAATTATTATAGTTAATTAATAATTATAATAATAACAATAATAATATATTAATTGTTGAATATTTAATCTCTTATAGGTATTTTGATAAAAAAATTTAATAAATGAATAAATAACTAATGATAATCCATTAACAATAGTAACAAATATATTGATTAATCATTTTTTAAGTTCAAAAGATATTGATGTAATTGTAAAATAGGTCATAATGTTAAAGAAAAATTCATTTTCTTTTCATGCTTAAATTTATAGAGTGGGATCTATGGAGGTAAGATTGGTTTTAGGCAACGAAAGAGAAAGGAAAGGGAGCATTTTGTGAAATAAAAGAATCAAAATTATAAAAAGAACAAAGAAAAACACAATTAGGGGCCTAACGGTCCCAAAAATTTAAATTTGAGGGGTACAAGGGATTTGGGTGAACCCAGGGGGCTAATAGAAATGGAAGTTTTGGGGAGGGGTAAAAGTCATTTTCCCTATAAAAAATAAAAAATAAAAAAAATATTTTAAATCCCAAAATAGTGCATATTATAACATGTGTTTATAAATCTACTAGATTCGAACTAATTTTTGTGTCTAAAATTTTAAAATGGATTCTCAGGCCATCTAGTGAATTTTGGCACCAAAATTACATTTTAGAATAAAATTTGGTAGTACAACCCTTTTCCCATATGGTCACATTCTGCATATTTACCTCGGATTGTTTTGGTACGAAATATCTATGTACTTCCAATTTTTGGTTGTTTTGTTTCTCTCTTTTTTTCCTGTCTTTGTTTCTTTCTTTCTTTTCTGACATTAAGCATAGTTTTGAAATAGATTACGACGAACCATTTAATTTAATGCATATCTTGTTTTCTTTTCTAGGGTAAAACAGCATTTTTCAATATCATGCTGAAGTATGCTGTGGTGAGGAAAGCAATGGTGATTGTGAGCAAGTTTATTATGCTACCTGAATTCCAAATGAATGGTGGAGTTCTTGCTGTGAGTCTAACTGGGGAGGCCATTGCCCTTTACTCAGACCCAGAACTGAGCAAAGTTACAGGAGGAATCAAGATTGGAAAATATCTCTATATTGGATATCTTGATAAGTCATACATTGGGCGCCTTGACTTAAAAAAATATGCAGCATCTGCCCACTAAAATTGGTTATGGCAGGATAAAATGTATGAAAATACTTGGTGTGATCAAGCTCCAGTTCAGTTGTAGCACCAAACAAATTAATAAGCCCTATATAGTTTTCTTTCGACAATTCAGCTAGTTGGAATCGAACTTGAAATATAGCATTGCTATTGTCAACTACTAACCGCTCAAACTCGAGCCCGATTCCTAACTATGTAAAATTTGTCACTGTAATGCATCTTTTCGAGAAACAATGTGAAGCTTTGTCACTGTAATGCATCTTTTCGAGAAACCATGTGAAGGGAGGTGGTTTGCCCACATCATCATCATAATGATGGTGTTAGATTAAGGAACGACAAGGGTATCATATTTAGTTGCATCTCTCTTTGATCAAACACAAGATCTTCAAGGTGGGAGATGCAAATTCCTTATGTCTACAAACTTTTGATTTTAAAAGATGTAATATTGCCCTGCAAATTCAATGTAATGTATATCAAAGCTTCTTGCAGAAGAACATTCTTGAACATTTAGATTTTCCATGTCCCCTCTCTCTAGATGTCTTTTTTGTTCAATACAATACACCCACATCTATGAATTAAATTAAAAAAAAAATTAAAATTTTGAATCACCCAGATCGCCGTCATTCTCCTAGTTCGAGAAAACTCACCCTTGAGTTTTGAAATGGGTAGTAAGAATCATCATCTAAAAACGATTTTTGTCTCAACCCAAATATTGCACCTCAACATTAGGGATTGATCTCAGGAGCTATGGTTACAGGCCTGATCAATATGTTCGAAAATGTCCTCAAATAAGTTGCTGAGGATTTTGGTGCACCTAGCTATAGTAGAATGCCTTTGTGAGATGGAATCCTATAATTCGAAATAGGAATGGTGAGTCCTATCATTGATGAGAGAAAAAAAAGCTAATTATGGTCGCTGCCTCTTGTTGCCTCCTCTGTTATCTCTTCACGACTACCACTATTGCGTCATTACCACCATTGTGATGACTATCACCATCACCTACAACTTATCATTCGTTATAGATAGGAATTTCAAGTTTTTCATTTTCATCCAATAGTTTATCAAATATAGAATCACATGGTTCTTATTTAAAAAAAAAAAACACAATTATCAAAGATGGAGTGCTATCAAAGATTGGACCATCATTAATTCATAAAATATTAAATCCAATTGAAGATTAGATCTTTATTGTTCTCTTTCAAAAGTGAGCTCATCTTGATGCCATCATACATAAAACCCATCTACATAAGTTGACTCGTCATCAATCCATTCTTTGATGGGTGCAGTTGGCATACGGACGCCTCCAAAGGTGTAGAGGTAAGGTGCCTTTCAAATTTTATCATGGTATATAATTTTGATGTAAAATGTTATTAGGATTATCTTAAAATTTACTTTTATATCTAATTATAAAATTTTAAATTTCAAAAATGGTTAAAATCAAGTAGATCTATAAACATATGAAAATCTTGAAAATGGACCGTGTAGATAATATGTTGTAAAATGCACTATTTTTTAGACTTAAAATCTTTTTATTTTTCATAGTCATACGTCTCGATGTCGAGATGATCAATCAAAGGATTTTTCAACGTTAAAAATACCTTTTCCGCTGGATTTTTGAAGGGCATTTGTAGTTCTACATTATAAGGTAGCATCCTTATATAAACTTTTTCCTTCTTTGATTAGCACCGATCTCTATGAAACCCTCAGGATCTATCTATGTAAATTCTTCTTCATTTAAGGCATGTTATTGCTGATCGTACTTACGTAATATTTGTGTAACCCTATATGTCAGGTGGTTGATTTCTTTTGCACAATTGGATCATATCAGTATCCCTAGGGCTAAGATCTCTGCAACCAATTATCGCAATATCTAACGGTCTTCAAACAAAGCTATGATATCACTTGATGCTGGACGGAAATGCGGGAAATTAAATCCATCTTTTTTCTCAAACATCAAATAAGTAAAAATTAGCGTTAATGGAAAAAAAAAAGCGTGGGGTTTAAATCAAGTGAAGAGAATATTTTTTTTATATAAAATTAAACTCATTCCAATAATATAAGCTTCCTATAATGTGAGTCTCATCTTTTATAAGCATAAAACTCTAAAATTAACCTAATCTCTAAGTAAATAATTTAAAACTCTAAAATACTTCTAAATAATATTAAAATTTTAAAAAATAACTATGTGAGCAGTAACATGTGAAGAATACCTATAAATAGTAAAAAAAAGAAAAAGAAAAAAGAAAAAAAAATTAAGTGTTAGAAAAATTAACCCTATATTATAAGGAAAAATCCATCATGAGTCAGGAGGTGCAAGCAAGAGCCCGCTGATTCACCAATGTCCATCTTTAAGATGGACGAAAAAGATTCACGAGGTTTAAATATCAAAATTTTAATTGTTTTCATGCTCATAATCATCTTAACCTAGATCGTGAATCTCTAAAATTTTAGATTAAAAATCTATTTCTAAGATGGTTTAAGAGGGGGGTCGCATATGATTCATAGAAACCTCACCCATATTATAATTCTTAAAAAGTTAACTCTAATAAAAAAAATAAAAAGTATACTCACATCTATTAAATTAAAATTTAAAATTTAAAATTTGAATCTCCCGGCTTTTTTATGTCCATCAATTTCTCTTAAATCAAATGACAGGGATAAAAGATCTCTTAGAAATGTTTTCATAAATTTTCCCTTGTTTAATTAGAGAATAGGCGTGGATATTTCGGAATAATGTGATTGGGTAGAGAGTAGACACATGCTATGTCTGTGTCCGAAATCCGAAGGAAGAGAGGGACCAAATTAAATTAAAATAAAAATAAAAACACCACACACTCCACAGTCCTATCACCCACCATGTCCGCCCTCCTCCCCGCCTCCACCTCCGCCTCCTTATCCCCTTCCCCTCTCCCCTCTTCCTCTTATCCCACGTCTCCCTCCACAACTGCTCCACCTCTGTCCGCCACCACTCGCCCCTATGACTTCCAGCCCCTCCTCTCTTTCCTCTCCTCCGCACCCAATTCTCTCACCAAAACCGCCTCCCCTGTCACCACCACCAATGGCTTTCCCTCCGAGAACAGTAGCGCGTCCATCTCTGCCGCCACTTTGATGTGTGAAGCGGAGCTGCGCCTTGTCTCGGAGTACCGGGCTGTGCCAGCAGGCGCGTGGCACTCGCTCCTCAGGTCACTATGCGCAGAGGGCAATCTGTCAGCGGCCACGGAGCTGGTGTCGTGGGTTGCGCGCCACAACCTGTGCTTCTCGCAGGCCCTCCTCCACTCCGTCGTCATCCACGCCCTTGGTCGTGCAGGGCAGCTCCGCCGCGCTCTCCGTCTTGCCTCTGACTCCCCCCTCCCCCTGTCTCCTCTCACTCTGAACTCCCTGCTCGCTGCCTGTGCGCAATTGAATTTGCCTGCCCCTGCCCTTCGCCTTCTCTCTGTAATTCGTCGCCACGGTTTGCTCCCTGACCCGGCTTCTTACTCTGTGCTCGTGCAGGCCATGAGGCGGTCGAAAGCGGCGCCAAGACATTTGTTAAACCTCTTTCACAAGCACCTAAAACTTGATCTCCTGGAGCCTGATTCTCAGCTATTGAATGACCTCGCTCTTGCTTTCGCTCTTGCTGATCTCCCCTCTCATGCTCTTGATTTCGTCTCCTTAATCCAAAGCCAGGGGCTGAGCCCTAAAGTCTCGACGCTTATTGCTTTAATCTCTGCCTTGGCTGATTCGGGCCAAACAATCGAGGCCGAGGCCGTTTTTTATGAAGCATTCGATTCAGGATTGCGAACGCACACGAGGGCATACAATGCGCTGTTAAAGGCCTACTTGAGAGCGGGGTGGGTATCAGAAGCGGAGGCATTGGTGTCCAAAATGGAGGAAGAGGTCTCCGACGCTCCCCCTGACACCCAGACCTATGCGCTGCTAGCAGAGGTGTATGCGCGGGCTGGGCGGCACGAAGGCGCCTGCATTGTTTTGCGTGAGATGGAGCACAGAGGCCTCCCTCCGAACCCTCGTGCTTTCTCCCGTCTCCTCGCTGCCTACCGAGACATGGGCGAATGGCAGAGAGTATTTTCAGTACTCCGAGAAGCTCAGCGCTCAGGTGTCATTCCCGACCGCAGACTGTACAATGTGGCGATCGACGCTCTGGGTCGGTGCGGGGACCCCGAGCAGGCTGCCCGTGCATTTAAAAAAATGCAGGCTGATGGGGTCGAGCCTGACGGTGTCACATGGAACACGATAATCGACTGTTATCGACGAGCAGGAATGCATGAACGTGCACTTGATATGTTCAAGGAAATGGAGAGTAATGGTGTGAAGCCTTGCGTGACAACGTTTAACATTGCGTTGAATACGTTGGGGGAGATGGGGAGGTGGGGGGAGGTGGAGGAAGTGGTGGAGAGGATGAGGGCGGATAGGGTGGAAATGAACGTGATTACGTACACGACACTGGTTGATGTGTATGGGAAGGCAGGAAGGTTCAAGGAGGCCATACAGTGGGTGGAGGGAATGCGGGCTGCTGGAATGCAGCCATCGCCCAGCATGTACCATGCGCTTCTCAATTCCTATGCTCAGAAGGTACTAACTACTACTGTGTCCTCTAATGCAGCTTCCATTTGGTCTTCCTGGTTCTGTGTCTCCTTAACAATACTAGTTTTTGGTTATTTCTCTTAAGCACAAAATTCCTTCCGTCTTTAATTGTACACATCAAGCTGTAGTAAACTCACAGAGTGAGATGGTAGTTTAGTTATTTATTTTTTGTGCTTGATGATTTAGTTGGAAATGCTTGTCCTACTTTTAGAAACTCAAATTTTTCCTATCAGTAAGTTCCATTATGAGCTCCTAAATGATTATTTGCTTTTTAAATACCATTGCATGAAAATCTTAACTTTCTATACATGGCTGAAGTGGAATTCAATCCAAATTATTGCCATTAGATAGAAAATTTGAAATGGGGCAGCCTAGTTGATTGTAATGTAGGATGGGTGGGTCTGATAAAAAAGAAATGCAGGGCCTTTAGTTTATCAACAATCTTCATTTGAAGTTTATTGGCATTGTATGAACTAAAGAGCCAACAAGAAATCCAAAGAAATGCAGGGCCTTTCTGACTCTTAGAGTCAGGTAGATGAGCAGGTCAATGAGAACCCCTTTAAGTGGTAATAAACAATCTCGCTCCAAGCAGTTTTTATCCACTCCCTACTGGAGGGCTGATGAATTCCAGTATCTCTTGTTTAAATGGAGTAACATTATGATGGATATTAATTGGTAATTGGGCATACATTTGATATTGTCATCTTAATTACCTTTACAGGGCTTGTCCGATCAAGCAGTGAATGTTTTTAAAGTCATGAGAGCTGATGGTTTAAAGTCTAGTGTTTTAGTACTAAACCTACTAATAAATGCCTTTGGTGAGGATAGAAGGGATGCTGATGCTTTCGCAGTGCTCGAGTTTATGAAGGAAAATGTAAGTATGAGACCCTTTTATTTATCACCATCATGTTCTTTAACCTCCTTATTTTCTTATACTCAAGAGCTTCGATAATCTTTACATGTTTTGCCTACGAAGTTTCTTCTTGTTGTATGTACTACATTATGTTTTTTGTGTAGTTCTGATGATGCTCTATATTGTCCTACATGCATGAGAAAGCATCTTAGTGGAAGCTTTTCTTAAAATGCATATATCTGTGACATCTTATGATCCTAAAAATTTGACTTGATGTTATTTTCCATGACTATAGGATTTGAAACCTGATGTTGTGACTTACACAACACTAATGAAAGCTCTGATCCGTGCAGAGAAGTTTGATAAGGTATGATTTCTACAATCTTCTCTCTATTAGTTTTGATTTGATTCCTGGAAATTTGAAACTTGTGAGATTTATTCAAAGTATATAACTATCCACGTGTAACTTACAATACATTATGGCCCTTCTCAAGTTTCAGTGACTGCTTTATCTTAACATATATAAGCATCCCTTCTTATTTATTTTCGTATATGGGTATTCTTTGTTAATTACATGAGAGGCCTGGTAAATTCCTTCAGATATTAAAGACTTCTGTTGGCATTTAGATGCAATAAAAAAATAAAAAAAGGGAAAAATTGGAATGAGGCTAATACGATTGTCTCTCTTTCTTTGATGGTTATACATTTGTGCTGTCTGTTCTTTGGGTTTGTTTCTTTTGCATGTATCCATATATATTTGTTTTTGCTGCTTAATAATGTTCTTCCATTTAGAAGGTTGTATTGGGAACTCAAGAATGAAAATTTTTAGTTGTCTCTCTGATGTTGCATGTATGATCACTCTGATGTTGCATATGTGATGTGTGAAAAAATTTATGTTGTTTTTGTAGTACTTGCCCTCCCTTACTTTGCAGAATGGGAATGGTGTCGAGGGCTTCAGCTCAGTGGCTCTACAAACTTTAAAAATTATAATCTTTCAGAACATGTGACTAAACTTTAAATTTTCTTTTTTGCATTTCCAAAAAATAAAAAAATATAAGTGAGTAGAACTATCTGACTTGATTTCTTGAAGTTTTGGTATTCACTTGTGCTATTTATCAATCAAGTCCATTTCTGTGTACAGGTTATGTTTTCATACATTTCCCGCTACTCCAGAGTCTTCGAAGAAAACTTCCTTCAAAAAAATAGTGCTTTCATGGATTATCAACTAAGCAAAACTGAATAGGATGGTCTGTTATGACATTTACACCCTAACATTAATAGGCTATGTTGCAAGGGTACTGGTATATTATTAATGTGCAAGTGTTGTACCATGTTGACACCAAGACTGATACCTGAAACTGCAAGGATACTTGTTAGTACAAAATGACACAATTAGAGAAAAATATGAATAAACTATAATAGTACCAATTTATATGTGTGAATGCGTTGGATGCATGTATATCTTTATTATACAATCTATGACATGTTTTTTTATGTGTTAGATAAGATACTCATATTGACTAGTCATTTCATAGTTCTTTGTGTCGTTGTCCGTTTCTATCCCTGTATTTGGGCATGGTAGTTAGTAATTAGAATTGCAAAAGATAAATTTGACTGGGGATTATCTCTGTGCAGTAAGAGTGTTAGTTCTCCTTTAGTGGCCTATTTATCCCTGAAGAAACTGTTTTCCATAGCTTGCCTGCTGTTCTTATTGAGCTGAATTTTTTTTTTTCAGCCTCCTAGGAAACATAAAAAAGTTAGCAAACCCTAACTACATCAGTTCCTAAACTCTTTAACATTTCTCAACAAGAGGTATTACAATGATGAATCCTTCTTGTTATCATGCCTATAAGAAATTTGGGGTTTCTCATGTCATCTGAAGTTTATATGTCCAGATTATTCCTAACTATCAAAAACTTTTGTCTGGATTGTCCCAGGTCCCCGATGTCTATGAAGAAATGATTTTATCTGGATGCACACCAGACAGAAAAGCTAGAGGGATGTTGAGATCTGCACTTCGGTATATGAAACAGACTTTGGATTAACAATGGTGGACCTTAACTGTATTGGATCTCAGGAATCTCACAAGCTTTGCAAAGGACTTCTATTGGATTTATTATTTAAGAAAGCCTAGCTCTCCAGCTGTCCAGCATGCAGTTCAAGGTTGGAATATGGAAATTATTCCTTTTTTTGCATACAATCTTTTTAGTTTTAATAATATGAAATGGTTCCATGTAGAAATTCCTTTGAAGAAAAAAATCATGATTGGTTACACTGACTATAAATAAGCTCACGACTGTCTCGAGTGTGGACACATTCTTCGAAAGGATCAATCTTTGAAGCATGTTGCCCAGCTAGATTTGCAAGGAAATCACCTGCTACAAGCAACCAGACATTGATACAACTATTGGATATTTTATTGATGCTCTGTTGGTTGTAAAACTCTGTTATCAGGTAGATTTTGTAATTGCTGACTCATTCTGAGAGTAGGTTTTGCAAGCTTTAGATTTTCTTGGTGTAGACTTAGTAGCCTTTTGTGGATTTCTCAGTTTAGGAAGGATACAAGTATAAAAAACTATCAAATTGAATAAATATTATCGAATTGTAACTTTCTGAAATGGCTAGTTTTTTACCTTTGCTTGAAAGAAATATTGTGTAGACTAAGGTAAGGTGTAAACAACATATACCCCTTCAAGTGTATAGACCCCAGAGATATGAAACATTGAAGGAAAACATATAGTTCGGAGTTAGGCTGCATGGGAGGATATGTGGAGAACATATAGTGCATGGATGGCCCTTGATTTCCTATGCTTGGAAACTATAGTGGAGACATGACACTGCATCCAGACTACTATGGGGAAAGCATATGATGACAAGGATTAGGATATGCTACTTGCAGCTATATCCTGAATGCGATTGCAATTTTAAGTTCTTCACAACGAACTATTAAGGTGAGATGCTTCTCAAGTCAAATATGTCATTATCTGCTCAAACAGAGGCACTATTCATCTCAACATCCTTGGTGGAGGATGGATGGGTTAGACTACATGTGCACTGTTTGGATACTGCATATAATATGGTTTATTTTACCAATTTTTATATATTCTCATGATGAAAATTGCTGATGAGAGGATTCAAAATCCTTGATTAAACACAAAACCCTTACCGATTGCTTGATTGGTTACAGGGATATGATGCCCAGATATAGATATGAATGAGTTACAGATATTGACATAAGGTATATGTCTTGAATCGCATCTAGATACAAACACAGCTGTAAATATGCATTCATCCTCACTACGTTTTCATATTGATACCAAAGGGTGGTGACAACTAGCATTCAACACAAATATAATTGGAGAGAAGTTAACTTCCATAGAATTTTATTTTGTTAACATATCTATCTTCCATGGAATATTATTTTGTTAACATAACTAATCTTTTTAACCACTTGGGAAGATTTGCCGCATGGTACAACCCAATGGAAACCTGATTGGTGTTTGTCCTACAGTCCCCTAAGAAGAACTCTAGTGATCTTGAATAGGAGTGAGGAATGGGAGATCCTATAAAATGACAAGCATTTAGTAAACAAATCAGTGTCTTGTCCAAATCAGGAATAACAATTCCATTTTTGGAACCATCTATATGTACTTCTAAACAGTAAGCAGCTACTCAACGACCTAGATGTGTGTTCATACCCTGTGATTTTTTAATAAGCAGAGAAGAATCGATTGCCTTATTTGTTTTGCTTTTTCAAGCAGCAAAGGCAGTGGGTTGCCAACAAGCAAGATACTCTGGTTGGCAATGAAAGTTGATAAAAAAGAAAACCATCTTACAAGCTCGAGCTCTTACATATTAAAGAGAACATTCCGGTTCTAGATATTCAGGTTCTTATCCAATCGTCAATAATCCAGGAATCCAGATTATATCTCAAAATGAAAATGGGAATAATTACAACATTATAAAGTCCTATCAAGTATGTTATTGGCACAACTTGTGGAGCATGCAAATCCAATAGAATATTTCATCATCATCGTCATCTAAGCTTTATCCCAACTATTTGGGGTCGGCTACACGAATCTTATTCTGCCAATTGGATAAGGATTTATAATAGAGATGTGGCAAAAGTTCTACTCTGGATGCCAACGTAACACAACCCACCTTCTTTCTCATCCGGGGTTGGGACTGGCAATGGCGAAGTTGTATGATCCTAGAGAATCCTTCACTAAGTATTATTTGTGCTTGGTGACACCTCTGCTGCTGGTCCTGCAGTCCGCCAAGACCTACTCTTTTAATAAAGAAGCAAGAATAACTCCACTTCTTAGTACCTCACTAAGGAACCCAACTCAAGCCCATGCAAGATAATGAGACGTGCTGTGCAAACTCAAACCAGTTACAGACCCACTGCACAAGAAAGATTAAAAAAGAAAAACAACTTGATTAGCTTTGGCTACATTATGGTTGCAATTGGAATGCCTTTTGATTGTACGGATAGGAGCGCAATCCACTGACCTGTAAAAGAAATGGACCTCAATCAAGTACCACAGCTAGGTGCAGGTCTGATTTTGGGCCTTGGGGCCTGATTTTCTAGAGGATCTTTGGGAAACTCATGTCATTCTTCCCCTCATGTTTTCAGTATGTGAACTTATTTGGTCCTATAATTTTACTGTCCAAATTATGATCTCTGGCTTTCTTTTGTTTTTCTGGTTATTACTGTTCATCAACATTTTTAATGAACCCTTTTTCTCCATATGCTTTTGACAAACCAGAAACTAGACCTACAGGCTTCTAGGTGATGCACTGAAGGCAGATTTGCCGAACTACCTAGAATATTTAGTAACAGACAGACATTTGCCATCTCTCTCTCTCAATACCGATTTGGATATGTATTACATGCCATGAACTGTTTTGGTTGTAGCTGTTACCATGTTATGGTTTAATGAAATTGTTTAGTGAAATTACTGAGAAATCAGTTTTCAGATTTAGTATGCCAATTTTCAGATTTAGTATGTCCTCTTTATCTTTTCATATGAAATATTTGACTGCCCAGTGGAATTGTGTTTATACCCTGTTACAGATGAAGGTAGCTCACAAAGGGACCTGTTGAATTTAACTGAAAAGAACGTACTCGTTTGGTATGCTGGCATCATTCATGGAGGTCCTATAAAATCATCGTGGCAGAGAATGGCTTATTCTTTGTGCTTTAGTCCTATACACAAATCCCCACAATATCAAGCACCCTGAAAACAGGGGTCACTTGTTAGGGTTTTATATCATCCAAAATCTTTTTATATGCATGATGCTATCAGCATTTCAGATTTAATGTAGCATTGTAAAGAAAGAACTATACCTACATAACTCTTTGTAATGTTTTTGCCATAGTGCTTTCATATTTTTTCCTTGTATTATGATATGGTTTCCAAATTTCAAATACGTCTTTGTACGAGGCAAGTTTTGGTGGTTCGTTGTTATGCTATTCATGTTCCTATGTAGTAGATGGTACATATGTAAGCCAACCCCTATCCGTCTTCATCAACAAAACATGGCTTCTATTTTAAACACATCCATAGCTGAGAACAAGAAATGCGTTTACGCTTTAAGTGAAATATATGGTTTGGGGGAGAAATTAATTCATCAAATTTGTGACCAACTTGGTTTTAGCCCACAAATAAAATAGAAAAATTTAGGTGCAAATCAAATAGATCGGGTATCCCGTTGTATATCTCAAAATTACCTTACGGGGGTAGATTTAAGGAGAGTGGTAAGTAAAAACAAAGAGCGTTTTCTTTCTAGAAATAGCTATAAAGGTTTTCGCTACATTGAGGGGTTGCCCTGCCGGGGGCAAAGAACCCATGGGAATGCACAAACTGCGCGTAAGCATTCTTTTTCCCCCTTGCATAAGGGAGTTATGCAAGGGAGAGAAAATAAAAGAGCAAGAAAAGCTTTTTCTAACGCATGAGTTTCCATCATGAAATGATGGACCAATCACTTTAAACAGAAAGATGATATTTATGTGTATATAACTATCCTTTTTATCCCCCTGCGGGTACCTTT